GAAGTTCATGGAGCATGATGCGTAACCAGAGATGTTCACATACTCATAAGGATATAGATTGAAATTTAGCTTTAGTACTGCTTCAGAAAATCACAAACTATTTCTTGCTTTTCCACGTGACAAGATTGTCCCGTACAAATGAGCAATACCCTGAGGTGGAGCGCGGATCATGAACTGATCTGACCCAATCATCATCTGTATACATCGCAATAGACCGAGATATGTGATGGGAGAAAAACAACTTTTAGCCCGGTGTACCTTCTATGCAGTGGAGAATCCGGTGGAAGGCTTGGATGTGGTGCTCGTAGGGATTATGCATGAATTGACTCACTATTACAACTGTGTGACATATGTCAGGGTGAATAGGACGAGTTAGGTGAGTTTTCCCACAAGACACTGATAATGAGTCTTGTTGACAGATACAACATTGAGAATGTCAGATAATTTTTCATTAGGACCCATAAGAACAACAACAATTTTGCAAAGAAAAAGTTTGTTCTGTGTCAAGAGATCAATCACAAATTTGCTTTGAGACAGACAAATTTCTCGAGATGACCGAACCACTTCCATGCTTAAGAAGTGCTGCTGAGATCCCAAGTCCTTCGTCTCGAAGGATGAAGCAAGTATGTCTTTCAAGGACTCCAATTCTGAAAGATCATTACTTGTAAGAATAATATCGTCAACATAGACGAGAAAAGTAGCTACCTGACCATTGGAGGAATGTCAGAAGAAGAGAGTCTGATCTGATTGAGCACGGGTAAAATCATGACCCACGACAACCTTTGCGAATTTGCCGAACCAGATTCTTGGAGACTATTTTAGCCCATAGAGGGATTTTCCTAGCCCGCACACTTGTCCTCTGGAGGTAGTAGACTCAAAACTTGGAGGGATGGGGCATGTACACCTTTTCTGTCAGCTCTCCATTCAAGAATGCATTCTTGACATCAAGTTGGAATAGAGGCCAATTCAAATTCACCGCAAGTGACAATACCGAATAGTATTCAGCTTAGCCACTGGAGCAAATTTCTCCTCTTAGTCAACTCTATAGGTCTGAGAGTATCTTTTGGCGACCAATTTTGTCTTGTTGTGTTCAAAGGACCCGTCAGATTCGAACTTGATGCTGAAATTCCATCAACACCCTACAACTTTCTTACCTTGATGAAGATCCACGAAGTCCCGCGTATTATTCAGGCTCTGTTTGGTTCGGCTTTTTGGTTTGGCTTCTCCCCGCAGCTTCGCGCGTTATGCCTCTAAAGTGTGCAACGGGGGTATATGCGCGACCCAGCTTCGTGGCCGCGACTTTTACCCACGTGCCCCTTGGTATGAGCCCTAATAGCGCAGTTGGATTTTCGCGCGAGCTTCATCCCTTCTCCTCTTCTCCGGTCGGTAACGGTTTCTCTCAAACTTGTGATATCATCAAAGAGAGGGTAATTTCTCCTCTACCCTGTTATCTGTTGGCGGTTTTTGCTTTTTTTTTTTGCTGTGATCTTCTTTTTAGGTCTGTTAGATCTACTAGCATACATTTTGTTTGTTGTATAACTTGGATTTTTTTGGCAAACCTTGGATGTCTTCAATAGTCACACATATGTTTCTCTGCCTTGAAGAGCAGATGAACAACAAACGAATCCTTTTTGAAGCTAAAAAAATTTTAGGATTTTTGCAGAGTTAAACATTGGCCCTGTCTTCTCATATAAATACATAATAATTTTTAAACAGTTTTAGCAAAAATGGGTAGCTTGGTCATTTCTCCAGAAAAAGCTGCCCCACAGCTGTTTTTACACAGCTGCACCAAACAGACAGCCAGTTTCCCCGCAGTAGCTTTCTAGGGCAGCACAGCTGCAGCTGCGCCAAATAGACCTTCAGTTGAAGGACATTCATCTCCTCCATTACTGTCGCTTTTCAAGCCAGCAAGGGCAACCTCAATAGTGGTAGGGATTTGATGGCCCGTTAGGGCAGTAGCGAATGTTCTGTAGGTCGGCGATAAACTGTGGGAATAGACATATTTTGCCATAGAATAGAGGGAGCAAATCTGATTGTGTACCTTACCCACGGAACTCACCTCCTCATTCGGAGGAGAGGGTGTTGTCCGGAGTGGAGATAGTCATGTAAGGAGGTAGCGGGATCCAGAGTAGGAGTATTGGGACGAGTGCGTTGAGTGTAGACACAGACAATGGGTGGAGGAGATGGTGCATTGAACGGGGCAGGTGACTCCTCAATGGTAGGAACAATGGGAGGACTATCCATAGGAGTATGGTAAGTGACAGTGTCGGGGAACTCAAACTCCCCTTCACTAGAGGCCGAGCTAGAATAATAAGTAACACTTTCCAGGAACGAGACATCAACACTCACCTAGATTTTGTTTGTGGTCGGATCAAGATATCGATACCCATTTTGAGTTGTGGAGTATCCAATGAAGATATATTCTATGGATTTGGGATTGAGTTTACTTTGAGCAGGGGCAGTGTTCCGAACAAAGACAGTGCACCAAAAAACCTTGGGATCTAATGTGGAGAAGTCCCGATTGATAGTGAAGCGTGACGTCAGGACGACTAATGGGGGCAGAACTCATGAATTTTAGAGGGGACTCTATTTATGAGATAAGTGACAGTTAGAATGACATAATTCTAAAAATATTTTGAGACATGAGATTGAAACATAAGAAAACGAGCAACTTCAAGGAGGTGATAATTTTTCATCTCAGCTACCCTATTTTGTTGAGGAGTGTTCATACAAGAACTATGATGGAAGATGCCTTTACTAATCATAAAGTAACTCAAAACATAGTTGAAAATATCACGACTATTGTCGGTTCGAAGGACCTGAATAGGTGTTTTGAATTGAGTTATGACAAAAGCGTAGAGGTTTTGGATTGTTACAACGACTTCCAACTTTGAAAAGTCCTGCTATGTTGTTACATTGTCGTTTAAGCTAATTTCTTTTCTTATGGTTGTGTTTTCAGGATCGTCGTTCGGGGAAGATGATTTTTATTGAATAGAGCCACCTCTTGAACCTCGGATGCGACAAAGTGCTACATGGTAGCTTGAACCTCGGATGAGACAAAGTGCTACATGGTGGGATCCACCTCTTGAATATGTATGGGCCTCCTCTAGAATCCTATCTGCCTGGTGGATGATTCTGGGTATAGAGCACTAACAAAGAAATTAGCTACTTAAGTCGGTGAAATTGTAAAATCCCTGAAGTAGATTGAAGCCAAACTCTTAAACCTCGAGGTGCCTTTTGGTGTAACAGTTGAATTTCAACAGAAACTTCAAAGTTAAGTGTGCTTGTGTTGGAGCACTCCTTGGATGGGTAACCTCCTTAGAAGTTACCCCAACGGGACAAAAACATGAAGCCATTTGACCAAAGCGAACTATACCTTGATGTGTGAAAGTTCGGGCCGTCACACTATTAATGATAAAAATTGTTTTATCACATTTGACAAATTGTCATTTATTAACAATACTTAAATATAAGTATTCATTAATCATTGTCAATTGTTAAATATTTTGCATGCGTATTGAGTATCTCTTAGGTGGTTCCTCCCTCATGTGATTGCCTTTGTGGCATGTTGAGCTATGTTTGGACTATTTCCAACTGGTGTTGGAATCTAATTTAATCTCAAAATACTTTTGATACAATTTTGAATGTGCTGTGCTAGACATCTCGTGTTCGACATGGCATGGAATGTATTTGGAAGTGGTGCTTCCTAGTTTTCCATTCGCATGAAGCTTTTTTCTTTATGGATATGAATAGGAGAGATGGTGTTGGCCTCGCCTAGTTTTCCATTCACATAAGGCTTTTTTCATCATGGATATGAAAAGGAAAGTTGAAGGTGTTGGCCTCGAGAAAGGGGAGGGAAATAACAATGAACACAGAGAGAGAGAGAGAGAGAGAGAGAGAGAGAGAGAGAGCTCATTCAAATGTTCCCAATAGTAATGCACTGACCTCAGAAGAACTAAAACAATGTTGTAGGGTTTGTAACAAAAGGTTTAAAAGGCAGCCAAAGTGACGGAAATAATGTGCAACATATTCCAAGCACAAAATAAGCTATGAAACTAAATAATTTGTAGAAGAAAATTTCTCTATGTTCTTGATAAACTACACAAAAAAAAAAGGGCTAACACGACACATCTTCAGCATAGTTCTTGCTTTTCTGATCTGCTTCGTACTTTTCAAGGGATCCCATGAAGCAATGGTTCTCTGCAACCATTCTGAATTCTGGCAGTTCTGCGGTATTCCTTCATCAGGCAGAACATCATCACGGGAAACTGAACTCCCACGAGAATTCTTGCCTAAAGCAAGATGGATGTAAGCAGCTCACACGGCAATTGGCATCAGCCTTAGCCTCAGCTTTGCCTTCAAGACAATAGAAACAATCACCAGCAGTTCTTCCTCAAAAGTTTTCACTCTTTTCCTGGGACAGCAACCTTCTTCCAGGTTCTTAAACCGAACCAGTAAACAGCCAGAGGAAAGGAGAATAGGATAGGTGAGAAATTTGCTAGGAGCGAAAATGAATTAGGTTGTCTTTAAAAGAATGGTGAGAGTATATTTATAGCCACGCCTCAAAATAATTGTGTAAACTGAAATTTATACAAATAGGCCCCAATAGTCAGCAAGTAAAAACAGACTTTAGAAATAGACTAAGGGAATTAAAGGGCCAATAAAACAAAAGTAGTAGACTATTATGCCACCAGCTGGTCAGAGAATGGTTTGGTGACATAGCGGGAGCGGATGTTTTCGAGCTGTTTGCCTGGTATGCATTGCGTCAGGATGCTTTAACACTAGATATAAGGTTATAGTCATGATCATCAACGCTATCTTTCCATCATTGCTTTTAAGATTTTTTATTTATTGGCAACACCGTTTGAAGGTTATTTATTTAGTATGTTGACGAACAGTGCCATTTTAAGCGTTTTTTAAAACATTCTTATTTAATTTGGGTATCTTTTATGATTTATTTATGTATCTGAAACTGGATGTATCTTAAAATTTGGCTATAGTGGGTAACTTTCCTGGACTCTGAGGGACGGATAATGGATTCAAAGGCTTTGATCAAAAGAATATTTTATGGTGGATTGGAGCACAAATTGCGGAAGGAGGTACCATTCTTTTTTCTGTACACTAGAAGCACTTGTTGTCTGGCTTTTGGTTTTTTATCTTATAGCTATATATGCATTAACAGGTTTGGAAGTTCTTATTGGGATATTATGAATATGAATCGACATATGCTGAGAGGGAATATCTTGAATTAGTGAGGAAAACAGATTATGAAACTATAAAATCTCAGTGGAAGGTGGGTCTGGTTTGTTGTCTATTTGTCTTTGTGACATTTTTAAATATACTTTCAATTCCATCTGTCTTGTATTTGCTTGTAATTATGTGATTCATCCATCTTTATTTCGATTATTCTGTGTTTCTTTTTGGCTTGATGTTTACAGGACCTATTGTTATTATCATAAAGTTTGGTAAGCATCATTCCAGCCATAAAATGGCATGATTAACTTGCATACTAGTTAGTGGTAAAGTCCCCTAGTGTCTGTATTTAATTCTTACTAGTATTTACTTGAAGCTGATGAAATATTTCCTCAAATATAAGATGGACATAAAAATAATTGACGTGTGAAATTGGTAAAATCAATTATGTATTGTTAGTCTAAGCCACATTTGAACATTGTTCCAATCATGTTCAAACTTTATTCTAGTCATATTTGAGCTTTATTCCAACGGTGCTCAAAACTCACTCTAATTTTGTTCGAACCATGTTATAGTTATGCTAAAATCTTGTTCGAATCATACTTGAACCTTATTTGAACCATACTCACCTTACTTTTAAGTTTGAACAAAGTTCAAACAAGATTCAAACGTGTTTGAGCATGCAACATGATGTCTAAGACTGCTTTAGGTTTATGGTTTAGAGTGCACACACTATTTTCAAATATTAATAATTAAAGTTATCTTCAATAACCTTGATTAGATGATGTTTGGAAAGTGATACTGGAGTTATCAATAATAATGAGAAAAACAAATATAATTACTAAAGTTAAATAGGAAATTGCAACCAACATACGAAAATCTGACATTGCAACAACTGACTACTCAAACTCAAGCTAGGGGGTAGATCTAGGGGTGGTGGCGTTGGTTGATAGGGGAGTGGAAGGGATAGAGGTGGTGGTGGCAACAAAGGAGTGTTGGTTGCAGCGAATGGGAGGTGAGAAACTGCAGGGGATAACAAGCATGGTTGCTTTCCTAGATGGCGACAACAAGGAGTTGAGCTTGGCGGTGGAACAAGATGAAGACAGTGATCTCTGGCTGTCCTCGGTGGCGAAAACGAGGTGAGAGGATTAGAACAATAGGAACACGGTTTGAAGTGGTGGTTTGGGCGGCAACAACGTATGAAGGAGAGGGGAAGGCGGTTGGAAGGCTGACGACTGCAAAGAGACAACAAGGACTCCGTCTGGGATGGCTGCAACAAGAAAAGGTGACGAAGACATCGAAGGGGAGGAAACAGGGTCAGGTTAGATGAAGATAATCACTATCGCGGGATCGAGATACAGTCAGAGCACCATTCGACTCTTGGATAGGAGGAAAAATTAAGGCGCTGATGGCTGTCCCGAATAGAAATATAATGAAAAATTAAACTTAGAACATCTGAAATGCAAATGTATAGCCCAAGGATAATTAGGAGTAGGCCTCCTCTCACAAGGAAGCGTTAATCCCATTCAAAGGAGGGCTGACTGACCCTCAAGCTACGGTTTTGAACCAGTCCCAGACGGCCTTGTTGCCTCACATCCGATCCAAAACTAGGAGACGCCTTTGTCTGGTCCACCAATGTGAGACACTCGTGTAAGTCTTTTTGGGTTGGGGGAGCTTCGATCTCATCCATCCAAGCTTATGTCTGATAGTATGGAATCATATCAAGCATGTTGAAGGTATCGTAGATGTTGTAATCTCCCGCTAACTCAATTATGTAGACATCATTTCAAAGCACATCCTGATTGAATAAGTATTAATCATTCTATGACACAACCTTAGCTGGAGCTCTATATAGTCATAGATTTCCGTATCTTGTGTCTTTTCCATATATGTTAACTTTGCTACTGCTTTCTTTCATTTGTTCAATATGTCCGAATGTTATGCTATTTCTTCCACGTGTCGTTGTTTGAGCTTGATCCTCATTCTTCACTCGATACCGTAGCTTCTGATTCGTCCAAAGTAGTGATGCTCCGGTTTTCACACTAATCGTTCTGGTTGCTGCTGCTGGCATCCGTTTCGGACGTCCTCATTCGATTCCGTGGCAACTGTAGGTGGTTTTGTGTGAATGACCATGATTTTCTTCATCTTTGCTTCTAGGACCATGAATCTCGTATCGAAAAATCCCTCCATGACTAAGAAACATTCATCTATTTCAGATTTTATTTGATTATTTTTCTAATTTTTTCTCCAGAGCATTTATTTTATTGGCCGCCATTACTTCTGAGACAATTTTGATGAAGGAGATGTAGAGGATTAGTGAGTATAACTTCGATTAGGTGCAATCGTTGCAATCGCACATGTATCTTGAGCTTCAGTCATGCTGGAGGTGTCCAACCCTTAGAAGGCTTCCCAATCCAATCACGACTGTATTGCGAGATGTGTCCTTTCCCAGCAAGCGCACAACCGTATCACAACTGTTGGCATTCTGTGATTCTGATGTTGCTTCCCTGCGAATAACGACTGAAGAGCGTTGTTTCTCACCTAGCTTGCCGTGATCCCCTTATTGTATTGCGGGATTTGATCGCGAAGAAGTTTGGTTTGCCGTGATCTTGACGGAACCTTCCTACTAGTTCTCGTCATGTTTGTATGCGAAGACGGAGCGGGGCAAAAGATGGAGTTTTGGGTCTTGGTAAACTACGACCCTTGTCGCCTTCCCAACGAGCTTGACTCGTGACTTTCGCGTCTTTGGACTCTGCGATCCCGTCGTTGTCTTCACAATAAGCTTAACTTGTGACAGTATGGTATGCCACGATAGGATCAAGGCCCCATTTGTGATATTTCCTACAATTGCTCTTTGTTGAAACTATGGCTCTAGATCTGCCTGATCCTTTATCTTTGATTCCCATAACGAAATGATCTGAGATGATTTTGATAGAATAAGAATCAATTTGCACAAAAAAATTTAGAACAAATAAATATTTTATTGCAAGAGCTACAAACAACTTAACATGAATATATAAGATAAGCACCTACAATTTCAGAGGAAGGCGATCTCTTCCAAGAAATCTATCCTAAACTAGAACTTACGATTCAAAGACCTAATTTCATTCATGTCCTACACTAAACATTTTAGTCCTATTTATACTAAACAATAATAAATGACAAAAAAATAAATTTTCTAAGGGCTAATAAAAGACAAAATTGCCCTTAGATGCAGGTCTAATATGGTGTTGCCAGATTCTTGATTTTGGCCAATTTAGCTATAATTGAGATTTTAATTGCTAAGAAAAGATTCATTTACTTGCTTTTCTTTTTGGTTCAAGTTTCTTATTAATTCCATTGAATTTATTCAATCGCCACATTTTTGTTGTGGTTCGATTTCATGTATTTTTAGCATGCACTTAAACAAACTGAATTTTTGTGTATTTAAATAGTTTTTGGTCAGCTTGTCCTAATATCTTTTGTGTGATTTACACCCATGCTATCTTTTAGTTGCTTTAGTAACCTTGGACCTTAGCAGCCTGCAGCAATTTCTTATTTATTATCGGCATTTTGAGACTAATAGAGCTTTGGTGAATACAGAGTATTTCGGAGGTACAAGCTAGAAGGTTTACAAAGTTTAGAGAACGAAGAGGCCTGATTGACAAGGATGTGGTACGAACCTATCTACTTTGTCCCGACAGGATGACTTACAGAATATTTTGTTAAAATATCTTGAAGATAATATGGAAATTTTGATGCCACATTTTTTTTTTTTGACTTTTTTCAAGGTCAGAACTGACAGGTCTGTTCCTTATTTTGAAGGAGATGATAATCCAAATGTTAGAGTTCTACATGATATATTGTTGACATATTCATTTTATAACTTTGACCTTGGATATTGTCAGGTAATTTTTTGGAGTGTTTAAATTTCTTGTGAGTGAAGGGCTAATCATGCATATTTTTGCTTGCACGTTTTGCTCATGGCTATGCTGTAATCTCAACCTACCTCAATCACCAGGGTATGAGCGACCTTTTATCGCCTATATTATATGTTATGAGGGATGAATCTGAGGCTTTTTGGTCTTTTGTTGCACTAATGGATCGCTTGGGGCCTAACTTCAACCGTGATCAAAGTGGAATGCACTCCCAACTTTTTGCATTGTCTAAGGTTGTTAATACTTTTGGGTTTTTTATTCTAGAATTATCTTTTAGAATGCTGTGAAGTTTGAGCTATGCAAGTTGAAATGTTTTGAGGTTTTTTTTTTTAAATGAAAAATTATAATGCGTCATAGCATACAAAATTTTTATGTGGGCTACCCTAGTATTTTTCATAGAACTTCTGTACCTTTTTAATATAGTCCTTAGAATTATTAAGCCCGTTTATTTTAGTCCTAAATTTTTTTGGTATTCGATTTAGTCTCTTAATTCAGTAAATTAAATCAATTTGGTTCTATTCTCAACTTTGTTATTTCTTTAGATGAAAATCTATGGAGGGAAGCTTTCCATGAGATCATATTGAAATTCTTAGGGGCAATTCTTTTTGTTTTAGCTGATATTAATTAATGTGATGAATCCTAAAAAATTCAAAATGTCTTCTTGGAAAGCTCTTGTTAATCAATTTTTGTCCAAAGAAGCAACACAATTTACAACAACAACAACAACAACAACAAACCCTTATCCCACTAAGTGGGGTCAGTTACATAGTTACATGAATCATACATGAATCATTTTTCTCCATTGCGTCCTATTGAGTGTCATATTTTCATTTAGTTCTTATAAATTGCGATCATTTCTTATACAATATGCCCGATTTTTTGTTAGTCTACTTATGCTATTCTTAACATAAGTCGAATCTAAAACATCCACTTTCCTAATCGGTTCATCAGATGGTAAACGTTTAATGTGACCAAATCATCTAAGATGACTCTCTATTTTTGTCTGCTACTGGAGCTACACCACACTATCACGAATATATTCATTTCGTATTTTATCTCTAAGTGTAAAGCCACTCATCCACCTAAGCATCCTCTTCTCGGCAACACTGTGGTTTAAAAATCTGAAACAAACACACCCTTAACTTATTCTTTTGGATCAAGTAAAAGCTTAATATGTCATAACTCTTTATTTTTAATGCCTTAGATGGAATCTCTCTTTTACCGTAACTGGTATATGTGATAAATATCATAAATTGCAATTCTAATTTTTCAATTCACTTACCATGTTCTAATTTTTTCTCTTCTTCAGCTTGTAGAGCTTCTGGATCACTCGCTGCATAATTACTTCAGGCAGGCAGATTGTCTAAATTATTTCTTTTGTTTCCGGTGGATTCTCATACAGTTCAAAAGGTAAAATCATGATATTCGTTTTTGAAATTTTTGTGTAAATATTTCTTGGTCATTTTGTGATTGATGGAAATGACTCGGTATGTCTACTGTTTATTGTTTTTTAACATCCAATTTGTGCATTAAGTTTTAAGTAGTCGTGCTTATCAAAAGGAAATAGGCTAGTTTTTCCTTTTGGTTTTAGAACAGCAACAGTATGCATTAGTCTTAGAATCGAACAACAGCTACGTGAGGGTTACCTGTATACGAACAAATTTTTAAGAGAAAAATAATTCCTAAGAAGCCTTATATTGCTTAATGAACTCGAGAAAATTGTTGAAGATTATCCGCATGTATAATGACGTTATTGAGCTGCCATTTATGATGCTTCATCAAGTTCCCCAGAAATCCATGCAAACAATAATTATTTAGAAAGATGTTCAAATAATATATTGTCATAAATATATTCAATGGACTTTTATTGTTTTGATAGAATCTTAATTAGACTTTCATCAAGAAAAACTTGAATATCAATGAATAAAGTTGAAAGGATTCAGCTCCATCCTACAGTAACAAACACAACGCAATTCTAAATAAACATATTAAATCAGCAAAATAACTATCACTAAAGAATATATTTCTATGACAAAAATTCAACAATAAATTTGGTAGGATATTTTAAGAGCGAATTAACAACTTATGACAAATTTGATAGATAACTATATTTATCAAAGAATAAATGAGAAGGCACAGAACATATAATGCCATTATAAACGATAAAATAGTTATGAATTACGATGTAATGTTAATATATTATGTATCACCATAGCATCTGGTTCTAAATGAAAGACACTTTGGATCAACTAGAAATGCATTTACTTGCTAATACATCAATGTTCAATGACATTGGGTGCAATCATAGTGGGGTTTATAAGGTAACCCTGCACAGGATGAAGGTTTTCAGTTAGTGGGGTCCAAGGTCCCTCAAGGGAGACTTCACTTTGAGTCCTTCGGCGTAACAACTAATCATATTAACAAGTTTTTACTATCAACATTTATATCCATCACATACAAACATATATATTTTATATATTTGTCCTTAGCAAATATTTTTACAAATGTTCTATAGACAATTATGATTATAGATTTCTTTCATATAAATAGAGGATGATTTACATGAACAAAATTTATTTTGCATTACTAAACTAATGCATTTGTTGAACAAGTTATTCCGTCATATGAATCATTTCAAGCATTTGAATTAATGCATCGATTAATATTGTAAAGCCATTTGCACATCTATGACATTTCAATATACAACAACAACAAAAACAACAATAAATCTTTATCTGACTAAGTGGGGTCGATATTTCAATATGATAATTGTTTATGAACATCTTAAGGGCCATTTGGTATTATTTCTATTTTTGTTTTTTTATTTTTTATCTTTTAATGTTTTGATTTAAATTAAATCGTGTTTGATTGAGGTAGTTATTTTTAAAAACACATAATTTTTTTAATTATATTTTTGATTATTTTTAAATATAATTTGATTTGCGGGCATGTGCAGCTTTTGACGAGCTATAGCACAACTAGTATGACGAGCAATTAGGTGCGAAATTGTTTTCAAAGGTCATAGAAGTTTGTATGCTGAGCATAGAAGTCATAAAAGAATTTTATTTCTGGCTCACATACATACTTTGCACTCTGCTACATATATATAATACTAAAAGAAACAAAATATGAATCCCCCAAAATAAGAAAAATAAGAAAAATGAAATATCTAATAATGAAAATACAATTAGTGAAATATATTCCGAGAAAAGGAAATAATTTCCTTCATAATGCGGATTACACTTTCCAATACTACTCTCAAGCGGGATTTTATATATTGTACATACCAAGCTTTTGAATCCACATTCTCCTATATGTTCGTAGTGCATAAGCACAATATTCAAATTTTGCACTACTCCAAAATACAACTTGTTTTTTGCTTCTCCACGTGACGAGATTGTCCCAGATGTATGAACAATATACGGTGGTGATTTCCTATCAGTTACCTCTCAAAGGTCTTTGATTTCAAATTCTATTTTGAGTAATCTTTTTTGTCTAATAATTTTCTCTTAATCCTCATCTGTCAAAATAATATCATCTATATATAATATGAGAATGATAATTTTGCCTTTAAAATTGAATTTAACAAACTGTGTACGATTAGTTTAACATTGATGATATCCATTTGTAATCATCATTTTCAGCAAATATGTCAAACAAAATACACGGAGATTTCTTCAATCCGTATAAGGAAATGAATATATCCGTGATAGGGTTGGTGTAGCTCTTGTGCCGGATAAAATTAGAGAAAGTCGTTTTAGATGGTTTGGTCACATTAAACGTCGACCATCTAATGATCCGATTAGGAGAGCAGATGTTTTAGATTCGATTTGTGTTGAGAAAGGAACAGGTAGACTTAGGAAGACTTGGGCTTATTGTATTAAAAATGATCTTAATTTACTAGAACTAAATGAAAATATGACACTAAATAGGACGCAACGGAGAAAAAGGATTCATGTAGCCGCATAGCCGACCCCACGTAGTGGGATTAAGGCTTTGTTGTTGTTGTATAAGGACTTCTTCAACTTGCAAACCATCCTTTTGTTTGATCTTCCAAGCTTGGAGGTATTAGTCATGTTGATTTCTTCATCAAGGTCGTCATTCAAGAAGACATTTTTGACATCAAGTTGTTATAAAGACCAATCTTGATTTAGTGCAAGATAGAGTAAAACTCGAACCGTATTAACTTTGGAAACATGTGCAAATGTTTCCTGATGGTCAATCCTGTATGATTGAGTGAAACCTTTGACAACTAGTCTGACTTTGAATATCTCTACACTTTCATCTTCTTTTGTATTTGACCATGAATATTTATTTGCAACCTACATAATTTTTTCATGAGGTAATTCTGCAAGTGTCCATGTGTTATTCTTTTCTAGAGCCCAAATTTCTTCAACTGTCTGTTTCCATTTTGAAATCTTTAGAGCCTCCTGGAGAGAGTGGAACCTGCACACTATCAAGGCTCTTCACAAATGCTCTGTAAGGTGGTAACAACTTCCAATAGACTACATATCTTCGAGTGGATGAACAATGCTCCATTAGATACCGTTCCTCTGTGCAATTAGTTGATTAGAATCATCAACTATCACTGTAAGAGAGTCATGAGTTGAGGAATCTATGCCATTATGATTATTGGGAGAACTTGGTTCTAGTTCTTGACGGTCCTGAGTCTCTATAGTGTCCTCTACATGCTTAGTGGTCCTTTTGGCGTAGAGATGAAATTTCTAATCATTGATGCCATGTTGAGGTGGATTTGAGACAATGAGACTGTTTCTGTGATAAAGTTTGGTTCTTCAAATGGAAATGGTTGAGGGGGAGTAAATGACAATATTTTGAGCAAATAGGCTGAATGCCTTTTTCTTTGCTTTCATTCCAATAAATAATAGTTTCTACAATCTATTTTAGGTACATAATATTCAGTATAATCTAATTTAAGTAACTTAATTAATACATATTCATAATCTAAATATTCAGCTAAAAAGGAGAGAATCCGTGCAAATATAATATTTCCTTCTTTGCATTATTGTGAAGAAGGAAACTCTTTTATTATGATTTCTTTTATTCTTGATTGATATCCCCCTTCAAATTGATGTTGGCTGGTCAAGAAGCATCAATTTGCTGACAAGAAACTGATGACGCTATCGAGAAAGAGCTTTTGTAAATATATCAGCTGTTTGAAAATCAGAAGTGATATGAGGAAGAGATATAACACCCTCTTCATAGGCTTCTCGAATGGAATGACAGTCCACTTCAATGTGTTTCGTGCGTTCATGAAAAACGGGATTAACAGCAATCTGGATAACACTAGTATTATCTGCATGAAGAGAATTAGACTCAAGTTGAGGAAAACCAAGCTTAGCCAGCACGCCACGAAGCTAAATGATTTCAGAATAAGCAGAGGATATAGCACGATATTCTGATTCAGTAGATGACTTAGACACTCGATCTTGTTTCTTGCTCTTCCACGAGATTAACGAGTTGCCGAGAAACATGCACCATCCAGTAATAGATCGGCGCGTAGCAGAACAACCAGCCCAATCAGCATCACTATAGGCTGGGGAGGTGGATGGAGGAGTTTGAGAAAAGAAAACCTTTCAAATATCGAATAATACGTCAAACTGTGGCTAAATGAAAATGTGTAGGGGCTTGCATAAATTGACTAACTTGTTGCACAACAAATGAAATATCGGAACGCGTAATAGTCAGATAATTGAAATTGCTGACCAATTGTCTATATAAAGATGGTTCAGATAGAAAGTCACCATCATTCTGTTGATATTTGACATTTACCTCCAAAGGGGTATCAGTAGAGCGACCATCTTGAAGACCAGCCAAAACAATGAGTCCCTTCGTATAGTTATGCTGATGAAGAAAAATACCAGTGGCAGAAGAGTGAACCTCGAGTCCTAAGAAATAAGTTAATGACCCTAAATCTTTCATATGAAAAGAACCCTAAAGACGTTTCTGTAGCTGAGACATCAATTGATCATCAGATCCTGTGATGACAATATCATCAACATATACTAATAACAAAACAATTCCCTTGTTAGTCTTGCAAAAAAATAATGATGAATCATACTGGCTTTGAATAAAAGAGAAGCTAAGAAGGATATTGCGAAACTTTTCAAACCAGACCTGTGGAGCCTGTTTCAAACCGTATAGGGACCGTTTGAGCTTACAAACATCATGTGAAAGTGTAGAAAATAAGCCTGGAGGAGGAGTCATATAGACGTCTTCTTTGAGATCCCCATGTAAGAATGCATTCTTAACATCCATCTGCTTTAAGAACCAATTTTTAGATGCAGTAATAGATAACACCAGTCGGATAGTTGTCATTTTAGTCACAGGTGCAAATGTTTCGTGATAATCAATCCCGTATTCCTGTCGATTGCCAAGAGCTACCAATCTTG